GATAAATGGTTGAAGAAACCAGGTTGTAGTTTTCACTGGAAGCAATTGGGGGAAACTGGGAAAAAAGTATTGGTCAACAAATTCAGTGACAGTGTTGCCTTGGCACCAACACTTCCCCTACTATAGGAAAACCCTAAAAGTATCACCAGTAAAACAAAATCATCATTAAGTTCTTATAGGAAGTACAACACAGCAATTAACCTACGAGTACAAATAAAGAGTGAAATACAGTACAATGAATAACAGTACAACAGACCTGAGGCGGACACCTCCACCCTTAAGAGTGGGATTGTTTTTGCCGATCACCACCACAGTGTAAGTGTAGGAAATATATGCATGTTTAAAAATCTACATGTCAAATTTTATACCTGTTCATGAAAATGTACCTGTCGAATAACTATGAGGAAGCAGAGTGTGTCTGTGAAGGATAGAAGTATGGTCCCGGATGTGTTGATAGCACTGATGTTGATTTGGTCGACCTGCTAATGCCCCGCAAAACCACCAGCAGAGACGGGTGACCGACTCATGACAAGCCTTATACACGGTGTGTATAAAGACAAAGTAAAGACAAAGTAAACAGTTCAAATTATAACTGGTAAGAAGTTATACTTTACTTTTAGCACAAATTAATGTAACTGAAAACCTGCCAACTATCATTAAGGATATTTGTATTAATATACTTCTTATAGGCCGTAAATCCTAAATCCCACTACATTACTGTCATAGCTTTTATTAGATCATGCTCAAGCTTTTCGTCCTTTCTTTGATCGCCACGTCCACTAAATTGTTTTTCTATTCTCGGTAAGTAAGGTAATATAATATGTAGACATGGGATGGATTTCTTTGCTTTGTGAAGAAGAGTAGAAGAACAGTAAATGTCATGTGGGTTACGTCATGCACACAATGCGAACATAAAGCGTGACCTCAGCAGTCAGCTGCGCCCTCCAGCTCTGGGTCACGCTGAGCTCCTTGGTGAGGCTTTCGCATCTTTCCCTTCCCACTGCTATTCAGCGCTCCCAGTTACACACAATTCAACCTGAGCACAGAGCCGTGGATTATGTCACAGTCGTCGTTTGAACCAAAGCTCTACTCCTACAATAAAGACAGCCCTACAACTATAGGTCACATGAATTGTGACTCAATCTGCGGTGCCCTTTAGCCTGAAGACTTTCTTACTCCCCTCTGTCAAGCAGCATCACCCTTTAAATTGCTCCCGAAAACATTGAGAGTTCATTGTGTGTGACAGGCTGATGAATTAATCTACTTTAGTCCTCTTTCCCCACTCAGTCTTGTTCTCTCGGTCCAGATATTCTCTACTTTAGGTGAAGATGAATTCCAACTGCTGGTCCTATTCTGGATATTTTGGATCTGGTTCCAAGTTGGTAAAATACCCGGATGGGTGAAGCTCCGCGGGCAACATCTGATCAAATCTTTCACTGACAAGTCTCTGTTGCATTACAAGCATCTACGAAGAACATTATTGAAACAAAGTGAGGACAGACTGCACCAAACTCAATGAAAAACAACTGTGAAATGCATTATTTGTGGGAGAGTGCTCTTGATAAAGGGGGGAACAAGTCCACAACTTAAATATTTATCTACCACCCTTTCATCTTAAAGTGAGAACTCAGCCTACCACCGGCAGCAGTCTGTGATCTGTTAGATAGTGGTGGGCAATATGACCTTAAAATAATATCACAAAAGTTCGGTGGATTTGTGATATAATGATATCTGTGATGACAAAAACAAATATTTTTGGTTAAGAACTAACAATAGTTTCTTTGGCTCTTCTCGTACTCGACTGTGTGCTACTAGAGGTGAAATGAGTCTTCTTGAACTTCTTACATATTACTGTGGTTTGTTCATCTGATCTTTTCATAACCAAAGCCCTTCCGCACTGAGTCACTCAACTTTTTGCAAGCATTGTTACTTCCAGCCATGCTTGTGGTTAGTGTGCGTAACGGTATGACATCATCGGTGCTGCTGTATTTTGCTCTCTGCCTGCTGCTCTCTGTTTAGAGATGTTGCCACTGGCTAGACTCCTTGATGGAGGGGGAAAAGAAGAGCCAAGTGTGTGAGCTCCCTCCTGCCAGTGCAGAGCCTCTCCACCACCAAGACTCCTGCAGTGCCTCCCAGGGGAAACACATGGAAACGGGGTACCTCGCGGTTCCAGGCTATACCACAGGGGATATCGGAGCAGCAGTGGGCCCCAGAGATGTAGCATACAGGCCCACCATTGTGGGGACATGCCCCGGCGCCTGTCAACCACAGCCATGGGTAAACAGCTCTACTGCCTTGTGGTAAGTCTGTTGAGACAAAGGTTAAGGGAGCGCACCCTGACAGGAAAGCAATTGTGCTGGCGGTGCACAATAGGTGGCCCCTAACAGACAAACGACCTGGCAGCCTCCTGCAGCCAAGATGTGGGAACGCTTGTCCTGCAACCACACTTGCCACCGGGATTTACCCAATCATGGTGCAGACAGTGCTCCCAGGTCTCCAGCCCTGACCACGGTCACCACATTTACATGCCCCACCTGCAACAGAGCTTGTGGGTCCAAGATAGGATTGTTCAGACGTCAAAGAACTCACCGTCGGGGGAGTGGACGTCGTCATCGGACTTCGATGGACAACCAAATATGACGTTATTACAAGTCAGAATATCGCTTTTAATACATATCACCATATCACTTTAAAAATGATTCCAGTATTACTGTGAATAATATGATATGACACACCCTTACTGTCAGATTATGTGAC